ATCTCCCAGGGGAGCGGGTTACCCTCACATGCAAGGCTCCTGAGACTGAGCAGGTTTCAGGATACAGATTCTTCTCTCAAGAAGGGCAGCAGGACCCCAGCGTAGTCCAACCCCCGAATGAAGGTGCCCGGCTGGAGCTCACAGCCGAGAAGGGAAATGCTGAGACATACACCTGTGCGTACTGGAGACGGGAATCCAATCGAGAGATCTCATCTAGGAACAGCAGCTCCGTCTCCATCCCAGTGACAGGTGAGCCCCTGTTTTTCGTGCAGTTTGATGGGAGAGTCTCTAGGGATCTGACGCCCACCCTGTGACAGAGCCTCAGGTGCAGTGCTCTAGAGCCGCTCTGGAGCAGTCCCTGGGAGGGCCCCTTCCATGTGTCAGCCCCCGGAGGGTCACAGTCTCACTAGGGGCCATTTGGCTGCAGCATCTCCTGGGACCGAACCTTGGAGCCTTCAGCACCCCTGGGTCACGCCTCGAGCTCCCCACAGCGACACCACCTCATTGCACACCTGAGACAGACACTTGCACACCCAAAGGGAGCAACGCGCCCCCACCTTCCTTAAACTGCAGTGACTCTCAGTGAGTGCGGTAACAGCAGGAGGTTTATTGGCTATTTCGGAACCAGCATAGAAAGTCCTTAGTTACCGTAGAGAACAGAAAGTTACAGCAAAGTCCATCTGGGTCAGTCCAGTGTCCTCTGGCCCCTCTGTAGTCCCAGTCCCTGAGCGTCTTCTCCTTCCAGCAGCTCAAAGTCAGGAACCCCACCTGGCTCCTCCTCAGTCCTTTGTTCTTGTTACCGAGGAAACCTTGTCACCTGACCCTTCTCCTTAGCCCTTTGTTCTCCAGCTGGACACACCCCACTGCCTTCCTGCAGAGGGGGGGCCATCCATGCTCGTTAGTTGCTAGGCATCAGATGTCCGAGCAATTGGAGTGGCCACTGTCTTCTTGGGCTCTTCATGGGCACGGGGTCCAAAGCCCCAGGCTGCTAGGCATCAGCCACACCCGATATCTGGGTCTCTGCAAAGAGGAAACAATCTTTTCCCACCACCTCGTTAGCCATGCAGTACATAGGAGAAACTGAGGCATGCACCCTATTAATAGAAAAGGGCCATATGGTCACCCCCCCCC